TTACTAATTATATCATTCCAATCTCCTGCCACAAACCAATCATTACCCCAGCTATGAGCTCTCCCCTCTAAGAACTCCCACTGACTCCTCCTAATCTCCCTGTCAGTGCTAATATATACAAAAATACACCAAACCCAATCACTCATGCCAGAACCCCTAACCTCCACCTGCAGACAGAAATCATTACTAAGAACAGTTCTCACTTCAGTATTCACATACCAGAGCAATAATAAGCCACCTCTAGTACCCATTGGCTTCTCCAAAAACCACCTACCTTCAACGCCAAGTTTTTTACACACAGTTTTAGTGAAATCAAGGGATTTTTTAGTTTCTGATAGAAAAATTATATTGGGGTGGTGGATTCTTCTAGAATCCTTGATCTGGGAAACTGTAGAGGGCCCACCCAGTCCTCTACAGTTCCACACCATGACTCTCATTGGTCACCGTGGGGCCACTCTAGGCTGGCCTTCTCCACCTTTTTTATTTCCAACTTAGCTTTCTTATTAACCACAAAGACTCCATCCATCTTTCCCTCTGGGCTGGTTTGATTTTGATAATCCTCCCTATCTCTCTTATTTGACTGATCTCCTGCTTTAGCCCTATCATCTACGCACTTCCTTTGATTTCTACCTGAGGTAGATGGTTTCCTCTTCCAGGTAGCCCCTTTAATTTTCCCTAGTATGCAGCCATCAATAGGAACTTGTTGTGGTTCTCTCTCATCCTCCTTATCTGTTATGTGGTCCTCCAACCCTTCTACAATGTGATGTGGGCTCACCATTTCAGTGGAGACAGGAACTGGTTGAACAGGTTCTTCCTCAATGACTGTTAAGCATATTTGCATATTTTCCCCCCTTTTATCCTTCTCCAGCAGTTCAAGGTCCACCTTTGTGTTCTCCTCCATGTCAATCCCATCTACACAATTATTCATAGGTAAATCTGGGTGAGCACTTGTAGAAGCATTTGAACCCATTTTGGTGTTTTGGGCTGGCCCACTAGTCTTAGCCCCAGAACTGTCAGAGACGCTCCAACCAATGTTGTTAATTTCAGAGGCTTTAATCCATTCTCCGTATTGGCCTTCAGAGACATTTTTGAGCTCAATATCCTTGATCCTATCTCTGCAATTCCTGTCCAAATGCCCTATTCTCCCGCAATAGTAGCAGAGGTTGACCAGTTTCTCATATCTAAATGTAACTCGAACTCTCTGATCACCCAGTTTCACATTGGTACATCTCGGCACTGGTTCTTTCAAATTGAGCACCACAAGTAATTTAAGATAGCTACCCACTTCTCCTCCTGTTTTACAAATGGACACATTCTTCACACCCTGGAACACACTCCCAATTTTGGATCCCCACTTCTGTACTCATCCAATTGATGGGAATATTATACACTTGTACCCATATATTAAGTTCATCAAAACAACAAGCAGTCTTAGTTAACCCTGAGCTCCAATCTTTTAAAATGAGATACTGGTTCTCAAAAAGCCAATTGTGCCCAGACGCCACCTTCCTTTTATCTTCCATAGAACTGAAAATGAACTGAAAGAAATTAACGTTCAACTCTTTTACCTCCATAGATTGCTGAATTTTCCAAATTGTGCCCATCGTTCTTTTAATCCCCAGCAAACTCGCTCTCCGGTCACCAATTACTTTCCCGAACAGACTTCGTCCACACTCCTCATCACTATATTTGATATCGTCTATACGTAGCTCAACATCTCCCGCTTCCTTCTCCGATAAGGAGAAATTGTTGAGTTTGGACATCACGTCTTCCCCCAAATCCTGATTACTGCTTCCTTCCATCATATGCGCGACACCTACTCCTACCACCCTCTCGAAATACAAGGACACAGTCAAATAATAATCGCACTCCCTCACTATCAGTAAACCTCCACCGAAGGAATTAGGTTCTCAGAGAGAGAATTTTTTTTCAATTCACAAAATTGTCGTGCGTAACTTATAGTTGTTAAAATTCGAGTCGAACTCGAGTTGATCTCGAGCATCAAACCAATCTCGAGCATCAAGTCGATCTTGAGCATTTCTGTTTGTTTCACGAGTCAAGCTTGAGCGTCATTTTAATGGCTCGTCAAGCTCAAGTTCGAGCTCGAGCAATGAAAAAAACATCGAGCTCAAATCAGCTCGACTCGTTTGCAGCCCAAGTTGTGCACGCACAGGTAACCCGAGTTTAATTTATATTTGTGAAATATTGATTGCTTTTTTGTCAGCTTCAAAAAATTGCGGGATAATATGTGTCCAACCTTATACAAATATTTGGTCGACTTGAAGTCTGAGTATTTAGTAACCCACACACTCAGACCCAATTTAAACAATCAAGACTCAGTAGATTCGATGTAACTAAAAATATACTGATAGGTTAGAACAACGCTGAAGAAACACCAATTTTACCAACTTGATCTCATTTGAGAATGCAAACGATGTGGACCTCACCCTCGGAGAGAATCATAGAGATTTCCTAAGTTAAAACCCATAAAAATCGTATTGCAAAATAAACGAGTATAGACGAGAAGTAGTACATTGCCGCATGTTATTTGTAGAGCATATATTCTCAAATGACCGAACATGTCTGGACGGGCCGATCAACCCAAAATAACTCAAGCTAATTTCCCGAAAATTGTTTGGTAACACAACATCTAGGATCTCTCTCGAGAAAGGATGTCCTCGAGCTCAACCTGTAAACTTACCCTTCACTTTTATTTGCAACTGTAGCACCTGCTCCACCATTCTCTCTAAGGCACGATCCCTACGACCTCCTCCTTCTCCATTGCTGGACTCATCCATTTCTGTATCCTGCTGGTTTATACCGACCATCGTGGTTGGCGTAGTGTGGCCTGAGAAGTGTAGTGAGTGGCTTGTTGGACTGCTCCGGCCGCCAAAGCGTTTGCAATCATCTGCTCCAGCACCTGCCTTGACATTGCCACCAGTTGTTGGTCAGTTTGCTCCCCGTTCGTCCTTGGTGGCCCCATTGGTTGTACCATCGTCCTCGCTGCTGTGTCTGAACTGGATCTGGTTGGGCCTGCACTGGAACCACCACGTTGTGGTTTGCTCGAGCCTCTTGTGCCTGGCTTGGGCCTGCAATGTCGGTCGGGATTGCCGATAAACTCCCTAAGCCCATAGGACAAGGCATTGGGGTCATCAAGGTCTGCAAAGGTCCGAAGAAGCTCGACGGTGGGCTTGCTCCAAATGGACAAGAGTTTGGCCACTCCTCGTCAAAAGTATGCTCCAAATTTTTTCTAAGAATTTCGCCAGCCCATGGCTAAGGTGAGCATAGCTTTTCAAACAAAAGTCCCACAGACAGTGCCAAAATGGTACATAAAAGACCTTAGACTGAATGGAATTGGTCTGAACTCGAGCTTACTCGCCTGTAGATCGCCTGCGAACCTGCAAATGCTCTCACCTAGGAGGTTTTCCGGTGAAGAGCTTCCGAAGCCTAAATAAACACTTGTAGAAGATAAAGTGTAGAAAATAGTGTATGCAATAATAGGGAATGTAATGTGATAATAGGCATACCTCACTCTCATATATAGGGAGGTGATATCTTGTTGTCCAAGTGTAACGCCCCTTATTATTTTAAAGAATTTACCGAATTTATTTATAAAAATCAGATTTTATTTTTCGCAAAATCTCAATTTAAAATTTAATTTCTCAATGGGCGCTACTTATCTACCAACAACGATTAAACAAAGTACGAACACATATATGAAACTTATACATGCATAAACAAACAACCATATAAATTTAAACCAGTTTATCTTTTAAGTTCCAAAAGTTCAAACCGACAATAACGAAGTAATCCAAACCAAAGCAAGAAATAGTCAAAGTCAAATATAACAGTTCAACAAAGTCATAATAGGCGGAAGCATAAGTCAATGATAACATAATCGACAAATGACCACCACTCGATCGTCTTCACGCCGCCACCGCCGGCCATGCTCAACCTACACAGAGGAAGAGGAGACAAGGAGAAAAGTAATGTGGGTGAGCAAACCATTATGCTCACCATTATCGCACAGTATATCCCGCATAAAGATTTAAAACCATAATTAATGTATGCATAGAATGCAGGTCTAACTCCCTACTTGGCTCTATCGCAAACCTCCTATGTACATACAACAAACCTTCCGACCAGACATCGGCAAAAATGTAACTGAAAACCTTCCCACCCCAAACAACACACGAATCATGGGATTCTTTCCAGGATATAGTGGAGCTGTTTTTCCCCTTCCGAATAACACACGGACTGGGGCATCCACCTCCCGAATCAGCTACGGGCCGGCGACCTTTCACTGTTTATGCATTCGTCAAAGGCACTAACAATGGGACACCTAGACTAGAGTTCCTACGCATACAAAAGCTATTGAGACAAGCATTTTTACGAAATAACAAGTGCGATAATTATAGATACAAAGTAAATGTGCCCACCTGAAAGCAGCGATAAAATCACAATACAAAACTCGAAAGGTAGGATTTTGAGGTCAACACCTCGGAACACCTACACGAAATCAAGAAAACTCTCGATTACAACTAGTCCAACAATCGCACAAACTTAGTCGAATCCGTCGACTAAGTGGCTCGTGGAAAATTCTCGTAGAGTTATTGAACAGTCGACTTGACTCAATCCAAAAAGGAAAAACACATAAAAAGACAAACTCATGATATACATAGCCAATGAACATGAATTTCAAACCACTTATAAAACATGTCAAGGGGACCTCATATATTAAAATTCATGCAAAAATTCAAATATTAACATATTCAACTATTTGAAAATTTTGACAAGTAAAACACATTTTCTAGTTGAACAGGCAAATGGACGAATTTTGCTTTGAAAATTTAACACATGATACATATCCCTGAATATATACACTTCACCAAATTTCATCCATAACACATAAACATGCGATTTTAAACAATTAAAACAATATTTCAGCAAAAAAAAGTATTAATTTACAGCCTGACCAAATGAATGATTTAAGTCCTAAAATTTTACAAAAACCACTACATCATATGAGGACTAACATATAAAATTTCCAGGTAAAAACACTTAACACACGAATTACAAAAATTATTGCAAGTTTCTGCAGAATTCATGATTTGAATAAAAACTTAACATAATGAATTCAATAAATCTTGGGATCTTTACATCACATAGAACAACATCAAATGAGCATATAAACCAAGTTTCAGGCATTTTCATCAAGGAACCAATTTTACACGATTTTTAATAGTTTCAACATAAATAACCAAATAAGCATTTACCATAGCAAAGAGATTCCAAAAATTATAAAATTTTTACACAAGGTTAATAAATTTCCGAGGAACAACATATCCAAGTTTCAGAATTTTTGGACAATAATTCAAATTTTCACGAATTTAACAATCAACTGTAGCAACAATATATTCAAAAATTCATAACTCCAAATATATAATTCCAAATGATACAAGGTCAAAACCATTAACACCAAGACACTCATATGTTCCATAATCCAAAAGATATCCACGAGTAAAAATCAGATCGTAAGGGTTTCACATTAAACCCTATAGATCTTAAAACATTAAAATATATAATACAATATCTTAACATTTTAAATCATATAATATCATATAATCAGCAAGGACACATATAAAACACATAATATAAATGGATTTTAGTAAACTACCAGACACCAAGGGGAGAAAACGAACAAAGCACGGTCACGGGCATGGGTCTCGGTCCTACGGGCGGGGAACTCGTCCGCTTGGCTCGCTCGGCTCTAATGACGGCTTGCACGGAAAAGAAAAATGTCCAGAGGTCCTCGGGGGTCGAGGGTGGTGGTCGGACGTGCGAGGGTGACCGGAAGTTGCGGCGGTCACGTCGGGATCGGCTTCTCACAGGGTGCGTCTCCGTGACTGCGCGTGCGGGGTTCTCCTTGGCCGCGGGTTTTGGCGACAGCGGCGGCTTGCGAGGGTGGCAAGATGAATTCCGACGAAAAATGGGAGAAGAAGGAGTGAGGGAGAGGGCTGGAGCAAGAAAGAAAAGAAAATGGCAAGCGATAGTGAGAGAGAGTGAAGAGACGAGAGAGATAGGGAGAGAGATGAGGGGAGGGGGGTGTTACCTTATAGTATTAAGGTAGGTTTTTAATCCAAGGTTTTTAAAATCGAGATTCTAAGTAGAATCGTTTTGGGTGCGGAATCGGAATCGTAGAATCGGAATCGTAAAATCATAAGACTCTACTCAAAACGTCTAAAATTAATAATATGGTAATCATCAAGAATATGTATCAAAATGCTAAAAAAAACCACCACATATTTTTCAAAATATAAAAGTTTAGACCTATTTGAGGTTTTCCGATTGAATCAACTTGAATGTGCATAATTCCATACTCCAAAGTCAGAACCAAAACACGGTCAAGAACAGATCACCAAAAATAAAACATAGCTGCTCAATTTCCCTGATGCATCACAGGAAAAACAAAGAACAAAATGAATACCATTTTAACGTCAGAACCAAAGTCACGGCCATCAAGGCGTCAACCAAAAATTCAATCTTCCTAATTCCTAAAACTGTGATTCTGTGAACTTCCCTTATTCCAACAATGATAAAAATAAAAGTGTAGGGAGATAAGTAGAGATAAATGGTTACCTCTAAATGGGAGAACAACAAAGCGATGAAGCTTAATTGCTGAGAAGACAGCTCCGACGAAGTAAGAGAGAGATGGATTTGAGTTTAACGTCGCAGTACGACGGTCGGCTGACGAGGGATGGAGGTGAAGAAGTCGCGATTCGCGACAGAAGAGTAGAGGGAATTAGGATTAGGGGAAAATGAATTCACATTAAGGATTTTAGGATTTGTTGTGTATTTTTTAAATTTTTTTTAATTAATATGTTTTGGATAGGGCCAAGGGAAGGGAATATTTATACTTCTTTGGGCCAATTTGTGTAGAAAAACAATCAAAAGAAACAGCCCAAGTGCCCAAACGCAGCCCAATTTTAAAATCTAGTTCATTTTTTGAGTTTTCCACATAATCGGTCAAAGTCGTAGAATCGGTCTGATTCTACGATTTTGACCGATTCTACCAATTTTGCAGTGACTTTACATTTCTTTGCGATTTTGAGCGACTTAGAATCGATTTGATTCTACGACTCAAAGTCGCGATTTTGATAACCTTGTTTTAATCCCTTAAAATCTGGTCAAAGAGGCTCCATTTAAGGGATAAGATAGCAAGAATGGAGGGATATTGAGCTTCTAGGTTTTTGGTTGAGCGTGCGGGCCGATGGGCCGGGCGGTTCGGCTCTCGGTTCGGGTCCAAAATTTCCGAGGTTCGGTTAGATGGTACGACTTGGTCGCTCGTTCGATTCGAAATCCCAACTAGTTCAATTATTCAGTTCGCTCGAAAAAAAAATTAAAAGTATAGTCCGGTCCGGCTCAATTGACAATTAATTAATTTACAAACCGGCTCAATAATAAAATTATTCAATTATACAATTAGACAATTACGAGCACATAATCGAAAAATAATAATCGAGCACGAATAAAATAAATCCCAAAAAATAAAATAAATAATAATAATAATCTCAAAATAATCCGGAACACATGGGGCGCTACACCAAGACTGCCCGGATGGGTAGCCCGATTTGCCCGTGTTGTCCGATGGTACAACTAGAGATGCCCGAACTGCCCAATTCTGTTAGGCCACGTGGCCCTATCTACGTGCGGCTCTTAACTCCTTAAGATTCCTTTTTATCCTTTAGTCTTTCTCATTAGGTTGTTTAATGGTGCGACCTGTACGATATCCACTGAGGTAGAACGTCACCTGCTCTGAGACTAAGTGCTATCCTTTCTGGTCGATCATGCGACCAACCGGGCCTACAGGTTGAGTCTCCGGCAGGTCGTCCGAGGGTCCTAGCTTAACCTGTCGTTGCCTTCCTGTAATATGCATTCTGCCTTCGACCTGGAGACTCCTGGTTCTCCCTCGACAATGTTTGACCACCGCCAGCCTTCCCACTGTCCTGATCGACCAACCGACTCTCTTGGTCCGGTCAACCGGTTTACTAAGTTTATTCTACTATGTATGGTATCCCATATCAAATAATAAAATTAATAATAATGACGACTTAATTGGCTAAATTTATTTAAATGATAACATAGGATTTTAAAATATGCTTAACTTAATTAAATGAATCGTATTTGATTAATGATAATAATAATAATAATAATAATAATAATAATAATAATAATAATAATAATGATTTTAATTATAGTACATGAAAAGGACGTTTTGAAATTAAGGGTGTAATAGGTATTTCACATATAAGAAGTGTATGAATCAATATACTTGGCAATCAACATACTTGTTTGCCTCGTAAATTTATTTTAATGTATGGTTGAGATTGAAGGTTTGGTAAATTGTGAGACGAGCATACATGTCATATATATAGAGATTACACATAATCGTCTTATGTAACTTTCTAGGGTGGGCAGTGCCGGCTCTTTGGGGAGATATTTGGGCCCCATTTTTTTTTTTTTTTTTTTTCTCTACATTGTGTATTTGTGTTGGGTTTGGCCTATATATTTACACAAATGAATGAGCTAATGGCTAAATATGGACTTAACCCATTACACAAATGAATGGCCTAATAGCAAAATATGTACTTTGTGTGAGAATTTAAATATTTCATTTGTTTTCTTATGATGTTCGGTCAGAACAATTGTGTGAGAATTAATATTCTTTGCAGTGATATGATTTTTATTTTCTTCTCCTTGTTATCCTCGTAAGTGGTTGAATATAATTTATTAAAGATATTTGTAACACATTAGTAATTTATCAATTCCGAGTATAGAAAAACAAGAAAAATTATTTATTTATTTAATAGTCTTGTTTAATTAGGTTTTTTTTCTTCTATGATTCTATCTACAAATAGTTCTAATTACCACTCAAGTTTAAATCAAAAAATTCAAAATGGAAAAGCATGTATGGAGCCTCCAAATTTCTAGAGACGGCCATGAGGGTGGGAACCGTGCATATTGTTTTGTCTCTATTCCGGTTCGTGTGCTATTTATTTCAGAACCGTAGAGAACCAATAATTAACCGATCAAGGGTAAAAAGTCCAAACTCACAACCAAATAAAACATAGTTGCAGATAGTAACCCTCGACTGAAACTCAAATCCATCGTCTCCAAGCCACACCAACAAAATTGAGAACTCAAAAAATCACTAAGGCCTACTATTGAAACTTTGGAAAGCAGAGAGAAGAAACATTCGATGCTCGTGTGTATCTAAACCCATAGGGATTTCACAGCTGTCCTAAACTTTCATTTTGTTTTCCCACTCCAAATCATTGTGCGTTCTCCTCAAAACCCTAACTGACAAAACCCCAAATCAATTTTTCTATCCATTTTACACCCAGACTACAGAACCTTCGGAGCAAGTAACTTCATTGACAATGGCGTTCAGGTCGCGTGAAATGATGAAGAAGATTGTGAAGAAAATCGGCGGCGAACAGAATCTAGCGCCTGGAGTGAAAGAGCAGTTGAAAAAATCGGTGCCTGATAGAAAGGTCGTGATGGGCCGGGCTCACCGTGGGCTTTACGCGGGCCGACATATCCAGTTCGGGAATCGCGTCAGTGAAGACGGGGGCAACAAGTTTGTCTATATATATTTCTTTGCTGTCTTTTATTTCTTTCCAGTTTTGTTTTCCGATAATCTGTGTATTGAGAGTTATGCTTGTTTTTTCCCCATTTCTAGTAGAACTGAAGTTTTAATAAATTTTTGTTCAATGTTAATTAGTTTACCAGTCTTATACTAAGATACATAGATGCCAAAGAATCATTCTTGAACTAAGTGCATGCGAGGAAGGGATGATGGCGGGTGTTAATTTTATTTATGTTTTGTGAACTTGTGGCTTTGGACTGAAAAATGTATGTTGAAGTTTCAAAACTATGGACTAGTCTTCTGTTAATCATGTCATTTGCCTTGTTCAGTTTAGCCTTCGACCTTGTGTAGAAGCATGAAGGTTATTTGATTTAAAATTGAGGGTATTGTGCTGAGATAAGTACATTAAGAGATTCTCCAGTGACCATTTTTTCTGCTGTTGTGAACTGTGATGCTGATTTCAAATAATTTAGATAAGAACTGTTGTTGGATCATTTGCCGTGTTTGTTCGGAGTTGTTTCTGGTCGGCTACTTTGCTTCACAAAACTTGGAAGTTTTATCATACTGTGTTTTCTTGATTACTTTGTCAATCATGCATATATTTAACTCATTCTTTATTGGCATAGTTTCACCAAAAGAACCAACTTTTACCTTTTAAAATTGTCCATGCTTATCTTTAACTCCTGCTTATTTTCCTTGATTCATGGATAAATGCATTTTGATTTGACATTAAATCATGGAGTTGTTGCATTCAGTGTCACATTGCTGTATCTCTTCCTAAATTCTGATTTTTTTTTTATTTTTTTTTGTCATATATGTGACGAAAAATTAACCTGTTGAACTATTTCTTTTTCTTTTGGTTCAATTTTGCATAAACTGTTTATCTACCTTCCATAAACCCATTCTCATACTTGTTTACTCGATGTCAATTTGTAGGACTAGGAGGAGCTGGAAACCTAACGTGCAAGAAAAGCGGCTTTTCAGCTATGTATTTGACAGGCACATTCGTGTTAAGGTGACGACCCACACTCTACGCTGCATAGACAAAGCGGGTGGCATAGACGAGTATTTACTAAAAACACCCTACCATAAGATGGACACTGAGATGGGCCTCTTCTGGAAAACAAAGATCGAGAAGATGTACCAAGAGCTTGGCGAGATGGAGGTCGTCTTCTTTTCACCCGAGGACGAGGATAATTTCGAGAAGCAATTTGAAGAGCTCAAGTTGGAGAAGAAGGCTGCACGTAGGGAATTCAGGAGAAAGATGTACGGTTCGAGTTATAAGCATGAGGTGGATGAGGAAGTTTCTAGAAGTGAGGGAAGAGATGGGTCTCATCCTGAGTTTGAAGAAGAACAGACAGTGGCTAATGCTTGAATGATTTGCAGTTTTTGATCTTAAGTTTTTGTATTGTTCTGCTGTTTCTTAGTGAGTGGGGTATTTACAGTTTTTGGGTTGTGATGATCATGCTCTGGTGGTAATTTGGGTTTTGGTTAGAAATTTGGATTCTGTGTAAGATTTGGGATTGAGAGGTCTAGCAAGTGATCCTTGGACTAGTCAAGTCTAGGGTAGGGTTAATAAAACCTGTTTTAGTCTAAGTTTTCAGGTTGGAATTTATCTTTGCTTTATTACTGTCACAAGTGACAAGAAGAAAAGGGTTTCATTTCTTGTACATTGTTTAGTTTTTATTGTTGTTTAACCTTGTTTGCTGCAAATTTTGGGGATGTGTTGACTCACAATTTTATTTTATTTTTTTAATCAGGAATTGGAAGTTATAGCTATGAGACAATTCTTACTTGTGTTATAAAAGGGAAATGTTTTTATATGTGTTAGTTAATTATTAGTTTATTATATATAAAAAGCCTACTAGACAGCAAAAACAACGCATCCTAGAAAAAATCCCACTAAAGAAAGATTGGGTTTTTTTTAATTAATTCTATTCAGAAAGATCGAAGCTTTCATATTTACTACACCTGAGAATGTTAGCAGGAGCCGGGTTTTGGACAATCAGAGGATTGGAAGACAGCTTCATACACATACTCAGAAGATGTAATAAAACAAGGGAGTTGAAAACAATACACGCCCAAATGGAGAAGCTTTCACTGACGCAGAGCAATTTCTTGGTCACAAGAATGTTGGACATCTGCGACCAAAATGGATCAATCAATTACGCAACGATGCTCTTTCACCAAATCTGTGAGCCCAACATTTTTCTTTACAACGCTATGATTAGAGCCTATACTCACAACAGCATGTATGCACAAACCATCAACGTGTACAAGAAAATGCTAACCCACCATTTGCAAGCCGAAGACCAGATTTTTCCCGACAGATTCACTTACCCATTCGTGATTAGGTCCTGCGGAGCTCTTACGAGCGTTTGGTCCGGAAAACAGATTCAGGGACAAATTTATAAATTCGGGTTAACTTGCAATAACCTGATAGAGAGCTCTTTGCTGGACATGTACGTGAAATGTGACCAAATCATCGACGCCCACAAAGTGTTCGACGAAATGTCCGAAAGAGACGTGATTTCTTGGAACAGCCTCATTTCTGGGTACGCAAAGTCGGGCCGAATCAGAAAGGCCCAATCGCTATTCAAGAAAATGCCTAACAAAACAATCGTCTCGTGGACAGCCATGATTTCCGGGTACACCAAAGCCGGGCTTTTTAACGATGCCACGAACGCGTTCAAGAAAATGCAAGCAAACGGGCTTCAGCCAGACTGGATCAGTCTAGTCTCTGTTCTGCCAGCTTGCGCGCAATCGGGCTCTTTAGAGCTCGGAAAATGGATCCATTCTTACGCGGCCCAAAAAAGTCACTTGAAAAAGACTTGCGTGTCGAATGCTTTAATCGAGATGTACACAAAATGCGGCTTCGTGGGTCCCGCGCTACAAATTTTCAATGATATGTCCGAACGAGACGTAGTCTCGTGGAGCACAATGATAACCGGGCTGGCCCACCACGGAAGGGCTCATGAGGCAATTCGACTATTTGGTGAAATGAATCGGGCCCGCATAGACCCAAATGAGGTTACGTTTGTGGGCCTCTTGTCAGCATGTGCCCATGTGGGCCTATTAGAGGAGGGTTTAAGTTATTTTGAGTCAATGGGTAGTGTATATAACATAGAGCCCGGGATTGAGCATTACGGGTGCATGGTGGACCTTATGGGCCGAACGGGCCATATTGATCGGGCTTTGAAGCTTATAAAGAGCATGAAAGTTGAGCCAGACTCTGCTATATGGGGTTCGTTGTTGAGCTCGTGTAGGACTTATCGGGATTTGGAAACTGCGGTTTTGGCAATGGAGAAGTTGTTGGTGCTCGAGCCTGAGGATATGGGAAACCTTGTGTTGCTTGCGAATATATATGCGGATGTAGGGAAGTGGGAAGAAGTTTCGAGGATGAGAAGGTTTATTAGGAGTCGGAGGATGAAGAAAACGCCAGGGTGTAGCTCGATTGAGGTCGATGGCGTGATGGAAGGATTTGTGTCGGGAGATGATTCGAAGGCGTTTAGTGAGGATGTTTTTGGTGTTTTGGAGGTTTTGGCATTGCATCAGTTGGAAAGAGATGACTGGGTTGAGGTTTTGTGAATTGAGAGCTTGATGAAGTGATTTATTGTAGTGTAAAGGAAGACACAGAGAGACATAGTTGATTGAAAATTGAGGAGACAGGTGAAAGTGTTTGGTTTGTGTTTGAAAGTTAAATAAAAGAAAGGAATTGCATATAAAAAAAAAAGAATTGGGTGACCCAGCATAATTAGGTTAAGTAGGTGGGTTGGATTGTCATACTTTGTAAAAACTATATACTTATGTTATAAAATGTCTCAAATGCTTAAAATATTCAATGCTCAGAAGATGTCAAAGATATCTCAAATGGAACCCTCTCCCGAAAAATTCAGATTGACTTGTTGTGGATGCAAGTGTTAATATGAAAGCTGACAGATTCAGTATAGGGGGAATCACTCGTGATGATCAAGGTAGAGCTCTTTTTACTTTTGGAATGCCAGTCAGTAATCCAGGTTCGATTATCCACTGTGAGCTCTTGGCAATCAAAGAAGGTTTGGATAAATGTGGCTCATTGCACCAAGTTCCCCTCTTTATCTACACGGACTCTTTGTTGGTTGTACAAGCAGTTACCGACTTCAATGAGACATGCCTATATTCGATCTTGGTGTAAAGATATTGATGCTCTTATGTCTCAAGCGGCAACGTTCAGACGTATGTATCATATGCGTCGTTCGGCCAATAATGTTGCTCATACTCTTGCAAAATTTGCTTCTTTTTCAAACTCTCATTTCTTATGGGAAGTGGATATTTTCCCGTCTTGGCTTAAGGAATTTATCTATAATGACTTACTTTTTGTTTAATGATAAGTTTCTTTTCCCTTCAAAAAAATGTAATATTGTTATTTATGTTGTTTTTTAGACTTCTTAATTTGATTGTATGCAGTTTCAAACACATTTCAAATGTTATGAATTTGCTTTTAATTTTCTTCAGTCACGTTGAACGCAGTTTCAAACTCATTTCAAATGTTAGATTGCCTCTT